CCCGTGGAGCAGGGAGCCCGATGCGGGACTTGATCCCAGGACCCTGGGATCATGACCTGAGCCGAAGGCAGACGCTTAACCGACTGAGCCACCCAGGCGTCCCTTAACATAGGAAGCTTTAAATTATGTCTTAATTATGCTAATGTCAAAATAAAAGATGGGTGGCTTGGTTTATAGTATATTAAAGTAAGTAGCATAAACACGTATTTCATTAGTGCTTTGTTTTTAATCTTGTACTTTGGCAAGGCTTTTACTGTAATAAATGAATTTTCCTTTTCATTGGGAAAAGCCAAGTTACTGTTGTTTTTGGTTATGTACTTGCATTCCTTCAGACTATAATAGTTAAAGACAAGAACTGGTAAGGACTATGTGCCTCTGAGACATTTATTTCTTAGATTTACATGATAATGACCTTATGAATGGTTTCTTATTTTTTCAGTTTTCTTTGAACATTTTCCTGAAAGACACGTGGAGTTAAAATAATGAACAAATATTTTGCATTTATATGAAAACCAGCTAAAAGTGAACTAGTCCTGACTACATACTACCTAGAACTCCTGTGGCTCTGAATTCTCACAGACGTGTATTTTTAGCTGTCCTTTTGACATGTCTAAGGCAAAATTAAACTGCTCCTTCTTGCTTCCCCTTGCTTCTCCTAAATCCCTATCTTTGTGAATAAGTCAGTGACCCCCTCCTTGCCGCCCAGGTGGAAATCTTGAATAGACATCCCAGCATCTTCCTTGACTTCCCATCTGATGAGTTTTTTTTTTCTTTCTGTGAACTTTTCCTTCAAATTGTTACCCTACTCTGTGTCCTCTCTTTTTGATTTCCCACTGCCAGGCTTGATGCCCACATTAGCCATTTCGCTGGCCTGCTTGCGGTCTGTCCTCTCCCCACTTGTACTCCACCCCTTCTCTACCCCAGTTTTCTCTGATCGGATGATTGGTTGTCTTCATCACCTCCAGTGGTTCTCATCATCCACAGATGAAGCTCAAGCTCCTCAGCATACAGTCAAGCCTTTGCAGTCTGGCCCTGACCTGCTTTTCAACCCTCATTCTCTGCCATTGGTCCTCCTGTGGTCAACACCTCAGCCCCACTGAATGCCAGTTTCCCGATTTGTGCCTATAGCTGTGTTGTTTCCCCTGCCCCCCTGCTCCCACTAATGCCATTCTCCTCATGCCTTTCCTCACTTATCAGTCACTGGCCCTCTGGACTTTTCACTGCATGCCTCTGTTAGAGGTCTTGTATTCATGGGTTCCATGCTTCCCATGGGTTACTCATCTGTGGGTGTTGGGAAGGAAAGGATCATTTCCTGTTCAGCTTTCATTTAATGAAGTCATCTCTCCTTGGCATATAACTCAGCTTCTTCTGTACTGGTTCTTGGTATTATACTGTGACTTCTTGATATATACTATTTTTGGCAGAGTCAGTGAGGTTAAAGTTCCATCCCTAGGTATATAGCACCAAAGACTTGAAAACAAGGACTCAGACAGATGCTTGTGCACAAATGTTCATAGCAGTATTGTTTATTCACAATAGCCAAAGGGTAGAAACAGCCTAAGTGTCCATCAACAGATGAATGGATAAGCGTAATATGATATATATATATGCAATAGAATATCATTTAGCCATAAAGAGGAATAAAGTTCTATTACATGTGTCAGCATAGATTAACCTAGAAAACATTACACTAAGTGTAATAAGCCAGACAAAAAGCACAAATATTTTGATTCCACCTATATGAGATTAAAAATAGGCAAATTCATGGGCGCCTGGGTGGCTCAGTCGGTTAAGCGACTGCCTTCGGCTCAGGTCATGATCCTGGAGTCCCGGGATCGAGTCCCGCATCGGGCTCCCTGCTCAGCAGGGAGTCTGCTTCTCCCTCTGACCCTCCTCCCTCTCGTGCTCTCTGTCTCTCATTCTCTCTCGCAAATAAATAAATAAAATCTTAAAAAAAAAATAGGCAAATTCATAGAGATTGAAAGTAGATTAGGAGTGATCAGAAGGGGATGCCTGGGTAGCTCAGTTGGTTAAGCATCTGACTCTTGATTTCAGCTCAGGTCGTGATTTCAGGGTTGTGAGATTGAGCCCCATGTTGGGCTCTGCACTGGGTGTGGAGCCTGCTTGAGATTCTCATTCTCCCTCCCCCTCAGACCCCCCTCCCCCACCAAGAAGTGATTAGGGGCTGGGGAGAGGGGAATGGAGCATTATTAGGTGATGCATATAACATTTCTGTTGGAGGTGATGAAAATATTTTGGAAATAGTGGTGAAAATTTTACAATATTGTGAATGTAATTAATGCTGTTGAATTGTACACTTAAAAATGATTAAAATGGCAAATTTTATGTTACATGTATTTTACCCCAATTAAAAACATACATAGTTCATATAATTTTAAAAAAAGATACTGACACCGCACCCTTAGGCACATATGTTCCAACATGTGGTTGTATGCATACATGTTCTTTCTGTATCATCTGTGTTTATCAGCCTTACCTTCCCAATATAACATGGATTTCTTGAATACAGCGACCAGTCTATATAGAAAATATCTTTTAAGAAATGGCTTTTAAATATCCTTTAGCAAACATAGGGGTTTGGAGTAGGTTGTTTTTGCAATTGCTGAAACTTTTAGGAGGGTGTTTGATATTGTACTTAAATGTTAATAGACTCAGTCTTGACAAAGTGATATGAAGCTAGTTTGGAACATAATTTGGTATTTCTAACCTACTGTTTAAAAATTGTGCATATTAACCCTGATACTTTTGGAAGGAAAGGCAAATAGCCCAGCCAAGTGTGCTTTAAGTTTTTTCTTTGCTGTTTTAAACAAAAGGCTTGGATAACTAGGCCAGTTACATCTATGGATGGGAATCCTACTGATTATTTTCCCTAAATCCTCCTTAAAAGGAAATAAAAATTTTTCTATGCTTTCTCTGAGCATAAGCAATTTTAGTCTTCTAGGAGTTAAGGTATGTTTCTTCATCTTTTAAGGTCCTATGGAAACGTTTAAAATAAAATCGGTAAATGATGACAAACGAATACAGTATATAGTACAATGCACTTAAAGTACATGTAAATGTGTAAAGCCAAAACCTCTTAAAATCTGGATTGTTTTATTGCTGAGTGCCAGAGTATTCTTTGAAAATAACTGAGATGCAAATGTGAGAAAATGTTAAGCTTTATAATCATCTTGCGTAGATTTCTGTTGTCTCATTCACTGTCAGCCTTGAATTTTGTATTTGGAGTCCACCCAGTAAACTAGTTAGGAGTGATGATGTGATGAATGTTAAAGAGGTTATTGAAAACTAAATTTCTGGGGCGCCTGGGTGGCTCAGTCGTTAAGCGCCTGTCTTCGGCTCGGGTCATGATCCCAGGGTCCTGGGATCGAGCCCCACATCGGGCTCCCTGCTCGGCGGGAAGCCTGCTTCTCCCTCTCCCACTCCCCCTGCTTGTGTTCCCTCTCTCGCTGTCTCTCTCTGTCAAATAAATAAATAAAATCTTTTTTAAAAAAAAGAAAACTAAATTTCTCATGGGGCGCCTGGGTGGCTCTGTTGGTTAAGCGTCTGCCTTCTGCTCAGGTCATGATCCCGGGGTCCTGGGATTGAGCCCTGCATTAGGCTCCCTGCTCAGCGGAGTCTGCTTCTCCCTCTGCCCCTCCCCCTGCTTGTGTGCACGCAGTCTCTCTCTCTCTCTCAGATAAATAAAGAAAAATCTTTAAAAGAAAACTAAATTTCTCTTGTATGATTGTTCCAGAGGTCAACATTAGAAATTACTGTTAATTTCACCTTCATTACACTTTTTTTGGAAGATGCTTTGGCCAAACAGTGACAGTTCTTTCTAGCAGATTTTCCTATCCCTCCAAACACGGACAGTAAGTGTGCTCTCGGGGAGGTTTGTCTCAACTTTTACTGTGTATTCGAATCATCTGAAGATCTTGATAAAATGCAGGTTCGGATTGGGGGGACAGACGTGGATGATGAGATTCTGCATTTCTAGTAAGCTCTTAGATGCCTGGTCTATGGACTGCATTTTGAGCAGCAGTGCTCTGGGTAGAAACCTGTTTCAAATACCTGATTTTGATGTGCTGTTAATACTGGCTGCCCTCTAGGTTTGCCAGATAAAATACAGGATGCTCAAGACGTCCCATTCACTATTTTTGCACATTACCTATACTACAAAATAACTCATTTATCTGAAATTTAATTTTCACTGGACTGGACACCATATAGATAGATACATACAAACACACCCCAAATCACAACCCTAAAATGCAATTTTAATAATTTCTGAATACATTTAAATGTCATGCATATTATTAGATTGAAAATAATATGATTATTTTCAGAAAAAGGACTCAGAATTAGGTTTATTTCAGACTTTCTTTTTTTGAGAGAGAGAGAGCGCGCGCGCGCGCGCGCGCGCAAGTGGGGGAGGGGAAGCAGGAGAGGGAGGGAAAGAATCTTAAGCAGGCTCCTCGCTTTTTATAATTTATAAAAGCAGTCCTGTTTTTAAGACCATCACTTGCTGTGTTTCTAAAACACAGGGCTCTATCTAACGACCCTGAGATCATGATCTGAACCGAAACTGGACGCTTAAATGACTGAGCCCCCCAGGCACCCCTCAGACTTGTTTTTTAAGTACTTATTTAGATGTTTTGCTCATAGGCTTTTCAATACAATAAAATATGGAAACATGACTGCACCCCCTCCAATATCTAGGGAATTCGTGGAAAAATAGTGAAATCTGTACATTCTACAATATACCTGAATGCACAGAAGTGCCCTGTGTTATCAGTGTTGAACACTCGAAGTAATAAGATGTTAATATGATAGATTTGAATTTAGACAATCTTTATAGTTTTGTCTTGTATCTCTTTGAGTTGGTATTGTGCACTGTTGATATTTCCAAATCCTGTATATAGTAACATTACATGAGAATAATCTTTGATTTTTTTCAAGTGTATGTAAGAAAATGTGAATGCTTTTCTTTGTTTTTCCAGATTCTTTACAGAGTTGGAAGCAAGACATCAGAATAATATCTTCATAGATGATATAAGTGACATTGTGGAAAAGCACACAGCGTCCACATTTGACCCGTATGTGAAATACTGCACAAACGAAGTCTACCAACAACGCACACTACAGAAATTGTTGTAAGAGATGTTGTTGAATGTTAAGTGAATAGCCTAACCGCACTTTAATTAGGTTACACTGATTGAAATTAATTGATCTCTTACATCATGTTTAGAAATGCCTCCTTATGGGCTGTTTCCCAGGACTGCTTTCAGGGTGAGGGTGTTTGAATAGAAAATCTAGTCTGTGGACAACTCTCTCTCTAAAGCAATTATGAAATTACAGGTTTCTGTTACTGTTTTCCTTGTTGTTGTTTTAAATTGCTGCAAGACACAGAGGAGTGATCATCATTCTAAAACTCCCATTTTTCTAAGCCATTAACTGGCCATTGAGTAGTTTGCCTGAGGCCACGCGAGTATTTGAGTTGAACTAGTCCTAGGATCCAGATTCTACTCTTCTAATCTTCCTCCTTTCAGGTGACAACTCTATTAAGTTTTTTATAGGAATTGCTGATTTTTCCCTTCTGGGTAGTTAGAAGTGAGGAGAGAAGGGCAAGTCTGAAGGAAAGCAATAGAGAAAAATGTTCTTAAAGGCTTTAATTGTGTAACAAAAAAGAATGAAGCTTTAAATTTCCCTCCTCACCTTTTTCCCTTTGTCCTATTTAGGTTACTTAGAGTTTTGATGCGATGTGTATGGCTTTAACCTTAAACGTCAGCGATTGTTCAGTAATGTCTTGTTTTATGTTGGGGGACCCTGTTTATCTCACGCAGCTATCTGTTTTCCAGCGCAGTGTGAATTGCCATGAACTCCGTTTGGGGGCTGAGGGCTATTATCACTCATACCCCCTCCATGGGTTGTGGCATTTATGACCACAGCGTGGAGCTCTGGTCAGCTGCTGTGCAATATGTGAGCCCCTGTGGAGGAATTGGGGTTGGTGCTGAGAGGAACAGTCCACTGAAGCTCCCAAGTCGCTGGGAAGGGCTGACTGTGCCCCTTCTCCCTCCACACCCTCATGAAACGCTTGTGTGGGCTGGGTGGGAAACCAACCCCAGATGAGGTTTTGAAGTACAGAGCCGGGTTTGTTGGTACTGTTGACATTTTGGTCTAGATAAGTCTTTGCTGCGGGTGCTGTCCTATGCATTGTGGCATGTTTTTAGAGCATCCCTGGCCTCTGTGCACTAGATGCCCCTCACTCCAGTTGTGACAACCAAAAATGTTTCTAGACACTGCCAAATGTTCTTGGAGGCATAATCTCACCCCTTGCTTTTCTTAATCCCCCACCTGCCCTGGGACCCCAGATAACTGATAGAAGATGCAAGTTACATGTTTGAAAGCAAAGCCTTGAATTAGAGCTAAATTTCATTTTGTTTTATTTTATTTTGCAGGATTTATAAAAGGTGAATAGGTACTCCTGTAACTCAAAAAATAAAGGTTCTAGGGGCACCTGGCTGGCTCAGTCTGTAGAGCATGGGACTCTTGATCTCAGGGTTGTAGTTTGAGCCCCATGTTGGGTGTAGAGATTACTTAAAAATAAAATCTTTAGAAAAGAAATAAAAATTCTATCTTAATTAGCTTAATGATACCATCATTTGAGCTTTCATATGGAAAATGGTAGTTGTGTTTTCAGGGGTTTTGTTGCAAGTATTGTGAATTTACATTTAGGGCAGTGACTGGCTGCACACTGGAAATGCTTGAGCATCTTTGAACACAAGCAAACATGCCATAGATGCCCAGGGTCCATCCCAGACTATTTAATCAGAATCTTTGGGGGTGAGGGTCCCAGGACCTGAGTGATTTAAATATGCAACTGGTTTGGAGTTTGATTTTTTTTTTTTAACCTACTAAAAATCCTTTGAAAGCTAGCAAGTAAGGAAACTTAAAGTTCCTCAATTTGAGAAAATGAAAATAAAACATTTCTGTGTCATTTCTTTTAATTTGCTATTCTAGGTATTTACTGATTTATGAACCAAAACATTTAATTTTCAAAATACATTTTTTTAAAAAGGTCCCAATTTCCACTTCCCTGCTTCTCCGGCTCCCCCTGCTCTCCAGCTTGAGGTTACAGTATCCAGTCCCCTTGCCCTGCTCCCCAACATGGGATTACAGTATCCAGCCCCCCTGTCATGGGATGACAGTATCCAGTCCCATCCCTCTGTCCCCTCCCTATTGTAAGTTATAAGGAACTCCTCAGAGCTCCTCGTGGGTGAAGTGAGGTGAGAGAGAAAGAGATCTGGGGGTAAGGGCACCCACTGAAAGTCAGAAGACCTTGGTTTGACTCTGTCTTCACCAAATACCAGGTCTGTTACTTGGCAAGTGGAACATCCTTCTGAGACTCCATTCTTATGGGAATCCCCTCTTGGCCCTCATTAAAAGTTGTATGGATGTTTCCATGTGAGGTCATATCTGTGGGTGCATCTTGCTAAGTTCCATAAAAATGTTGTGGCAATATTACCACTGTTCTTATGTCACTGGGAGGGGAGAAATATTCTGGCTGGCATGGTCAGAAAGTTTTCTGTCTCAGAAGCTTTGAAAAAGGCCAGAAGCCTCCTAGTAAATAAATCCAGTCTGATATTTCTTTCTTAGATTATCATCTGGGGCTAGAGAAGTGACTTAAAACATCATTTGTTATCTTTTTAATGGAATGCATATAGATTATCAGATAGGAGATCTAGTCTGTACGCTAGTTAATAATTGATCCGTTCACAGATAACGTTCACCATTCTGGTACCATTGTCTCTTCATTTGTTTACTTCCCACTTCTATAAATTTCTAGCTCATACATTTCTTAGTGCTCATATTATCTTAAACGCCTATCTTATATTCAGTTTTTACTATAAAAGGCAGACAAGCCATCTGTGTCTATGTAATTTTTGTCATTTTATAAATTAAAAATCATATGAATTTTAAAGAACATTTTATACAGGCATACCTAGTTTTATTGTGCTTTACTTTATCGCACTTTTAACAGAAGGTTGGTGGCAACGCTGCATTGAGCTAGTCTGTCGCCATTTTTCCAACAGCGTTTGCTCACTTGGTGTCTCTGTCACATTTTAGTAATTCTCACAGTATTTCAAACATTTTCATTATTATTTTATTTGTTACGGTGATCTGTGGTCAGTGATTATGGCTCACAGAGAGCTCAGATGATGGTTAGCATTTTTTAGCCACGAAGTGTGTTTTAATTAAGGTATGTACATCATTTTTTTTTTTTAAGACATAATGCTCTCGCACACTTAGTAGACTACAGTGTGATGTAAACGTGACTTTTATACACACTGGGAAACCAAAAATTCCTTTGATTCACTTTACTGCAATATTTGCTTTAGTGTAGTGGTCTGGAACCAAACCCACAATATCTCTGAGGTATGCCTGTGATATGTTTTTACTTCTTAATTTGAGGAGGACGTATTTTGAATTTCTTCTTTCTTTATTTCTTCTCAGAGCCACCAACCCATCTTTTAAGGAAGTACTATCACGAATTGAGTCCCATGAAGACTGTAGGAACTTACCCATGATCTCTTTCCTCATTCTCCCCATGCAGAGGGTGACTCGCCTGCCCCTGCTAATGGACGTAAGACATGATCTAATGGCTCTTTCCTCTTTGGGTAGCTGTGTTGCTATCAATCTGGTTAAGAAAATTATTCTTATTTCACTTAAATCAATGTGCTATATCTCTTCTTTAAAATCCTCCAACTAAGTGAAAAGGTGCTATTCAGTTGGGAAGTCTCACTGTGTTTAATATCTTTGGAAATTACCTTCAACTTAGGCTTGTGTGGGCACTCCGAAGATTTCAGATTATATCACTTGCTTAACATTTTTTGAAATGGGAAAAATATTGGCTTATTGAAGACAAGAGGCTTGGATTCCATTTCCAGCTGAGCCACTAGGCATGTGACCTTGGGCAGGTCACTTAATGTCTTCAGCCTCAGTTTCCTCAGACTAATCACCAAGATCCCTTCCCTGGAGGGTTCCAAGAGGCTGTGGTGCTTCTACTGCACATGGGGATGAGATACTCTTCAGCATTAGAAGGCATGAGCTTGCCCTTATTTTCTATTGCACAAAGGCCAGCGTCCTTATTGTTTCAGGGAACATTCACGAAGAAAACAAGGATTTTGATTTTGAACGGTGGCCATGACTGGGGGTGGTGAGCAGAGACTGTCTGGTCTGAAGTGCAGCTGGGAGGACAGTGAGGCAGGTGGGTGGGGGTGGGCAGGGGCCGGGGGGGGGGGGGGGGACCCTGCTCATCAGCTGGGCTGGAACCACAGCAGCAACTACGAGAGAAGAACCAGGTGGCCCAGTACAGCTCCCAACCGGCTAGTGGGCCAAATAGTATCTTTTTGATCAAGTTAAAATATTTTGCTGTAGTTTTACTTTAAAACTGGATCGTAATGTAAATGTCAGTTGCAACATACTTGATTTTTGCATGTCAAAACACAGGATAAAAATACAGCAAAAAATTATGATTGAGTAAGGTTACAAAACAAATCCCATTTTCCATATTCCATTATAAATTCACAGAGATTTTCTAAAAGCACTGACATTTTGCAATGAGTAAAAGCATGTGATCATAGTCACTTTGTTGGCTCTGCTGCCTGGTTTGGGGGCGTAGGGGGTTGGTCATTGTTTCAGAATTCCTAACACCCTGCTGCTCTCCAGCTTCACCTCAATTTACTACCTTCATATGCTTCCCTTGTGATTCTCTCCTTGTGAATATTGGAAAACTTGCAGAATTTTGAAACTTCAGCACTCTGATTTTTTTTTTTGAGATCAACATTTCTCATGTCTAAGGATAGAATGCAGCCAGGTTATCAAAACCAAATTATGGCTTAAAAAAGGTTTATTTGTAGGTTCCATCCACACTTCTTCCCTGACTCTCCTACTCTGCATCTTTGTTCACATTGTCGTTGGCTGTCACTTCTCAGCTTTACAACTAAAACAAGCACGTCTTTCAGGCACTAGCTCTAATGCTCCTTCGTTCATGAAGCCTTACTCAGTGCCCTCCTGAACAGATACATCTTCCTCCCCATCTGAACACCCACAGCACTTTGAGAGAAGGGACTCTGATAGGTAAACTTGGTGTCCTTGGAGCCTTGTGCCTTTTGGAGTAAGATCTGGGCACAAATGCTGGTTCTCCCACTTACAATATGATCCCGGACAAATTGCCTAATTTCATCTGAAGCATAAGTATAGTATGTACTTGAAGGATTGGCATGAAAACGAATGAAGTAGTAAATGTTAAGCCTGACAATAATAGGCACTCAGTGTTTTTTTCACTAAATTCGTGTATATAGTATACGGGCTTGTCCTGAGTTATGTAAACATTGTGAATTTTTCACAGATACTGAGGAGCAGCTACTGTACTTTCTTCCATAAGATTTTATCCATAGTAAAAAGTCATTTAAAAAAAGTTTATAAGATTACTAACACTTCCATAAAAATATGAAACTTTGATCTAGAGAAATATTTCAAGTTTTGATATTTTTAAAATAAGAAATGGGTACTTTCTAAATACAACATTTCTTGCAATGTTAAGAATTTTCAGGGTTCTTTTTCATTTGAAAATGTATTTTAGGCATATTTCTTTAGATTCTGTATATGCTGTGATCTCTCAGCCTTCTATATTTTCTCTGTTTAATTTTGGGAAAATTGCTTGAATGCATTGGGACTCAAAGAATCTAACATACTGTGTTGTACCATGTTGGAGAGTTAATGCCATGAATGGCCAGTGGACTCAAAACTTTTTTGGGTCAGAGACCCTTTTGAGATTCTGAGTAAAGCTAGAGTCATTCTCTCTAGAAAATGCGGTATGCATAAAATTTTACATAAAATTGAAGTGTGCAAAGACAGCTCAGGACTCAGGATGTCTGCTTTCAGGGACGTAAACCAGTATTTTTCATACTGCTTCTGTACACATTAGTGGGTCATGAAATTATTTTTGAATCCTAAGCAGTGTTTATTAAAAAAGTGAAACACAAGGGTGCCCGGGTGGCTCAGTCGGTTAAGCGTCTGCCTTCGGCTCAGCAGGGAGCCTGCTTCTCCCTCTCCTCCCTGCTCAGCTCCCTCACTATCTCTGTTGCTATCTGTGTCTCTCTCTCTCAAATAAATAAATAAAATATTTTTTTAAAAAAGTGAAATAAAATAGAATGTGTGGAATGTGATATGTAAACAGTTCATAATATGATTAGTTATTATTTTTTAAATCCTTTTTTCATTTTTATATACACATGTACTGGTTGCTAACGTAAATGGATTTCTTACAGTGGGCCATAGTAAAAGATTTGAGAACCATTAACAAAAGCCCACAGATGGTACACACTCTGCTTCTCACAGAGCACATACAACAATCTTGACACCTGACTTTCAGATTTGTAGGCCTAGTACTCACTTACATTCAGGATACCAGTTCCCAGCTTACCTTCCACTTCTGTTTGATGCCTGTTGCCATAATCAGTTTCCCAAATGTGAGAATCTGGCCGCCTGGGCAGAATCTAAATGTACTTAAAGCATAGTCTCTTCAATTTTACTTCATTTGGAGAGCTAGTTAAATTTGTCAATTGAGATGAACATTTTTAACAATTAAAATGATTCCATTGGCCTTGAATGGATATGGTTTAAAAATTATTTGTATCCCCATTTACCTTGAATTGACCCTCTTTGAAGTCAATTTTAGCATCACAAAAATTGCGGTGTAACTATATCAAGAGAAAATCTGGCAGACTGTTTTTCTTTTTTTAAAGATTTTATTTATTTATTTGACAGAGACACAGTGAGAGAGGGAACACAAGCAGGGGGAGTGGGAGGGGGAGAAGCGGGCTTCCCGCCGAGCAGTGAGCCCGATGCGGGGCTCGATCCCAGGACCCTGGGATCATGACCTGAGCAGAAGGCAGACGCTTAACGACTGAACCACCCAGGCGCCCCTGTTTTTCTTGATCTTTTTATTCACTGGTATTATCTACAAACATAGTTACCTTGAGTAATGATGATGATGGTCATAATTAGTTTTATCATTCATTGAGGGCGTACTGTATGACAGGCACTCATAAAGAACTGTACATGTATTATCATTTAATCCTGACAATAGCCTTGTGACATAGTTGGCTTTATCCCCATTTTACAGATGAGGAAACTGAGGCTTATAGAGACAGGGTAGGTGACTTGCCCACAGACAAATAGCTAGTAAGGGACAGAACTTGGATTTGAAACCAGGTTCCTTCACCCCTGAAGTCCATTCTCTTATTTAATCATTCCCTGGATTTACTTGGATCCTGTGCATTTAAAGACTGTTTCCTAGTTTTGTCATTGGATTTTAATGTAATCTTCATACTCATCCATAATGTTGTGTTCAGCATTGTTAAGTTTGCTATGAGCAAGAGGATGGGGCTGGGCCTTGGTTTTATTTTACTAAATAAATAAACTGATTGATTTTTGTTTTTCTTTTACTTCACTGCAGACTATCTGTCAGAAAACACCGAAGGACTCTCCGAAGTATGAGGTCTGCAAAAGAGCGCTAAAGGAAGTGAGCAAGGTAACTGTTGAATAGCTAGCTCATCACACAGTAAACTGTTCAGCATCTTGGGAGAGTACACATCTGGGTTTGATGCTAAACACTGGGAGTGCTCAAAGCCATTCGCACAGCATTCTTTAGGTAGCTGAGAAACAAAATAATGTTTGCTGCACTAAAATGAAATTAGTGTTTTTATTGTTTTATGCAGTCTTGCTGTAAGGGCCAATAGAGATCTCATTTTCTCTTGGTGTCTGGATAGTTGTTTATTCATTCTTTCATTAAATAGCTATTTACTGAGTATCAACAACTGTGCCAGGCATGATGCCAACCCCTGAAAATATGATGATGCAGACATAAGACAGTTGTGGTTAATGCCATCATGCAACATGCTGTGTAAAGGGGAAGGCAGGTGTTAGGCAAGAATTACAATAAAGGTTGGGGAGTGAAGAACATAGTGATGTTTAAGCTGAAACCTAAAGCAAGCTGAGCTCTGAACCAGAGCTTGGGGGCGGGGGGGAAAAGAGTGTCTCAGGTACGTGTAGAAACCCAAAGGCGGGGTGCCTGGGTGGCTCAGTCGTTAAGCGTCTGCCTTCGGCTCAGGTCATGATCCCAGCGTCCTGGGATCGAGCCCCACATCAGGCTCCCTGCTCTGCGGGAAGCCTGCTTCTCCCTCTTCCACTCCTGCTGCTTGTGTTCCCTCTCTCGCTGTCTCTCTCTCTGTCAAATAAATAAATAAAATCTTTTAAAAAAAATGTGTTGTAAAGGTGACAATGAGGATGGGACCAGTTGTAAGGGTTTTGTAGTTGATTAGGCTAGAGGTGACAGTGGCCTTTATGGATGTATAGTAAGATGTAGAGAAGCAATATATAATATTGGAGAGGTAGGCACAGAGATTGATTGGGAGAGTGTGTTTAAGATCAAAGTCAAGGAATATGGTCTCTGGGTTTGGCAACTAGATGGATGCTCTTATTTACCTTTACAATAGAAACATAGGGAGAAGCTGATGAGCTGCATTTTGGATATGTGATACTAGATGTTCTTACAGAATATTCAAGTTGGCTGAATAAACAGGTCAGGAACTCACTGGAGAGACTGGGGGATCATGGACATATGATGATTTCTGAAGCTGGGAGAGTGGATGAGATGACCCAGAAAGAGCGTGTAGAGTAAGAAGAGTAGTGAGTCTGGGACACGACCGTGAAGAACACCACCACCATTCATCTTGTTTAGGGAAAAGGTACCCATAGAGAAGACTTTTTTAAAAAAACAAAACATACGAAAGAAGGAGGAAAACCATAATGACCTGGCAGACGTCAGATGATTTGGTGGAAGGTCAGTGAGCCCGGTTGAGTGCTCCTGAAAGATAGAGTGACTAATGAGTGAAGCAGTCGGGGGTTTATCACAGGTGGGTTGTGTCCTCGCAGTGGTGGGCAGGGAAGCTGGATTGCAGTGTGTTGAGGAGTGAGCAGGAGGCGTGGAGCTGCAGCGAGCCAGCAGGTGTAGCTGGTTGTTTCAACTCTGGGGCGGTCCATGGAGAGAGAGCGAGCTGTAGCTTAAAAGGGACGTGTGGGAACATCTCTTTGTTTGTTTAAAGATTAGAAAAACGTGGGTACATTTAAATGCCGATAGGAATATCGAGCTGAGAGAAAGCAGTAGAAGGTGTGGGGAGTCAGTCAAGATACTGATGAGCGAGGCAGAGGGGGACAGAGACAATGGGAGCGCCAGAAGCTTCCCAAACCACGTGCAGCTATCACACCGCCTTTGAGTTCGGTACATTTTTGCATCACTTTACTGTGAGGTGGTTTCTTTCCTTTTTTTTTTTTTTTTTTTAAGATTTATTTATTTATTTTAGAGAGACAGAGAGAGAAAGTGAGCGGGAGGGGCAGAGTAGCGGGAGAGAGGGAATCCTCATGCAGACTCCCTGCTGAGCATGGCGCCCCGACACGGGGCTCAACCCTAGGACCCTGAGATCATGACACGAGCTGAAATCAAGAGCTGGCTGCTTAACCGAGTGAGCCACCCAGGTGCCCCTGTACTGTTTCTTTTTTTTTTTTTTTAAAGATTTTATTTATTTATTTGAGAGAGAGAGAGTGAGAGACAGAGAGCATGAGAGGGAGGAGGGTCAGAGGGAGAAGCAGACTCCCTACAAGGCGCCCTGTACTGTTTCTTTTAATCAACTTTAAGTTGACTCTATTTTACATATCCTCATCCTTGCCAATAGTACCTGCAAAATCATGGGTTTTGTGAGCTAGTTGTTTATTATTCTAATATACATTTTTATATTAAAAGTAAGTTTAGGGGCACCTGGGTGGCTCAGTCCTTAAGCGTCTGCCTTCGGCTCAGGTCATGATCCCGGGGTCCTGGGATCGAGCCCCGCGTCGGGCTCCCTGCTCGGCGGGAAGCCTGCTTCTCCCTCTCCCACTCCCCCTGCTTATGTTCCTGCTCTCGCTATCTCTCTGTCAAATAAATAAATAAAATCTTAAAAAAAAAATAATAAGTTTAGCTGTTTCTTAGTTCATTCAGGCTGCTGTAACAAAATACCACAGACTGGGAGGCTTATAAACAACAGAAGTTTATTTTTCCTAGTCCTGGAGTTGAAGAGTCCAAGATCAGGTCGGGTGAGGGTCCTCTTCTGGGTGGCAGGTTTCTCCTCGTAGCCTTACACAGTAAAAGGGGCTAAGGGGTTGGTAGAGCCTCTTTTGTAAGAGCACTAATCCCCTCGTGAGGGCTCTACCCTCATGACTTTTAAGCACCTCCCCAAAACCCCACTTCTCAATACCATCATCTTTGGGGTTTAGGATTTCATCATATGAATTTGGAAGGATACAAAAATTAAACCATAGTAATCTGTCAACCACTTAAATTCACAACTTGACCCATCAGTGGTCTGCACATCCCACTTTGGGGAACACTAAGTGAAGAAACAGACTGAGAAATGTGAGGTTACCAAAGGTCCCACTAGCAGTGGGTCTCTCCTCCAGGACCCCGCATCCTGTGCTGTCTTCCTGGAGACAGTGGTGGGGAGGGCCTTTAGGAGAAGCTACTAATGAAGGTCTAGCATTGGACTTGCAAGAAATTTTGTCAAATTTTATTTGGTTGTTACTGAGAAGTTGAAGAATTCACACAGAAGAGGAAAGAGGAAGGCTGTAGTTATTGATGAATTGAGCTAGGAATGATATTTAGTGTTTTTCAAGAATCACACCCCAGTTGCAGTAAACCACTACATTCCTTCAGACATCTCTTGTTCACTGGATTTGACACTGGTACTTGTAGGAAAGACAGGCAAAAATGTAATGGATCAGTGAATTGCCTTAATCTGATACTATAAGCATATAAAAGGCTCTCTGTGAAGAAATGCCATTCTAGTGACTTGTTTTCTCTGCATTTCCTTCTCTCCCTTGAGCACAGGTTATGAATGTCAGAATTATTTCCCGAGTCTCCTAGTGGTAATATGGTAACTAAGGCCACTAAATACAGCCAGCTCAGGAATTAACTTCTTTTTCATTTGTCAAGGTTGCTGTTGGGGTTTACAGATTCTGGGAGACAGTATCAGTATTTTCAACAAAAACAGTGTGTAAATAGAGCATTTATTGTTCGAAATTAAAAGCAGAATTTCACTTGTTTGCTTTATCTGAAAAGAAAAGAAAGTAGAGTTTCCAATATTTATTCTAGAGAGTGAAACTTGGTATATCATGGTCCAAGTTTTTAGAAGCAGACTCTACCTAAGGCCCTTGGGCAAGTGTCTCTAGATAGTTATTCATTCTTGGACAAAATGAGTAATATCTTTTCTGGTAATTAAAATGCTAATGAAATTTATTTGCATAGTGTGAATAATATGTCACTGAAATTCCTCATACATGTTGCTGAAATGAGTGTAAGTGCTTACTGAATTTGGGGCCTTGGAAAGACTTATCGACCTCATCGAACAACTCAAAAACAAGAAAGATGCTTCTCTTAAACAAAAATGTGTTTACTTCCTGATTTTCTGTTTGCATGGTGGGTTAGAGCTTCAGGGAGGGCAATTTCCAGGGAATTTAAAGTTCAGCTGGTGCAGAGTGATGTCTGGGGTTCAAGGAGTGGAGGTCAGAAGGTGGTTTCTTATGCCAGTGAAGTCTTTCCTGCCCTTCTCTTGCATTTACTCTCCTGAGGAGAATAACTGCTTTCACTCGCACCTCATAACAATGCTACTCCTATTTGGAGATACTGTTAAGTTACAAGTCTTTCTCCCGGTAGCGAAATAGCCAAGTCTCTTTAATCTTCTTCTATAACTTATTGCTCCTGCCATTTGCAGAAAGGTAGACATACATATCTATTACCTTGGAAAGACCCCTAAGCTATATTGTTACATGAGGAACATTAAGTTGCAGAGCAATACAAATGGTGTAATGACATCTAGCTAATAAAGTGTGTTGATGCTCATATGTATGTTATCGGTATAGAGAAATAGTCCCAGAATCATGCACATCAAACTTGGAACTGTGTGGAAGGGAAGGATTCACAAGGTTTCTGTTTTCACTCTAAGTACTGCTTTGTAAGAACGCATTTAAGGTTTACAAAGGTATATTCTGAAAATAAACTAATAAGTGTACATTATAGAAAATTTGGAAAATTTAGGTAAGAGACAGAAAATAAAATGTATCAGTAATTTTATCAAAAGTAATGACTGTTGGGGCACCTAGGTGTCTCAGTCAGTTAAGCGTCTGCCTTTGGCTCGGGTCATGATCCCAGGGTCCTGGGATGGAGCCCCACATCCAGCTCCTTGCTCTGCGGGGAGCCTGCTTCTCCCTCTATCTGCAGCTCCCCCTGCTTGTGCTCTCTCTCTCTTTCTTTCTCAAGTAAGTAAAATCTTTAAAGAAAAAAGTAATGACTGTTGTCATTCTACTACATATCCTTCCAGTGGGATGTCTAATCCAATACCAATGTATGGTATAAAGATACACTGAAAAATGGATTCGTATGGTACCCATTGCACTTACTATTCCACTAGTACTGCCTGGAACATTGTCTTGCATAAATGATTGTGCTCATCTGATTATTTCTAAAGATAAATTTCCAGAAGTGGGTTTATTGGAACAAAAATGTAGGTATTTTTTAAAGGCCCAAGTGCCTTCAAAAAAGGTTGTTCCCAAGTCCTTGGCCACCAGAAGAAATGTAAATGTCTGTCTTACTGCACACTTCCCAGCTTCAAATATTCTTTTAACCTTTGTGAATTTGGTAGATTGAAAATATTTTATTTTATTTTTTTATTTTTTAAAGATTTTACTTATTTATTTGAGAGAGAGAAAGTGTGAGAGAGCAAGAGTGCGGGTGGGGGGGAGGGGCAGAAGGAGAAGGAGAAGCAGGCTTCCCGCTGAGCAGGGAGCCCGATGTGGGGCTCGATCCCAGGACCCTGGCATCACGACCTGAGCCGAAGGCAGACGCTTAATGACTGAGCCACCCAGGTGCCCCAGAAATATTTTATTTTTAATTTATATTTCTTTGTTAGAGGGTTTGAGCTTTTTTTTTTAAATAAATTTGGCCTAGAAAAAGTTAGCGAGTTGAATTTAATAAAGCTTTGACACCTGCTGAAGGAAGGCATTATTTTAATATACTGAGCCTGATTTTAATAAAAACACCAGAGCACACATATGCTAATTAGTGCTTGTCCCTTTGAAATAGTCTTTAAAATGGGCTCCACTGATGAGACCATTGCTTAAGACATCTGGAGAACTTTTTTGTTTTTAATGTGCTCTCTGAAACATTGTCTTCTGATGTGGTGGCTGACTCTGCGGACTTTTGCTGATTGAGTCAATATTTGGAAGTTTAGGAAAGAAGATGATAACCCAGACTTAATAATGCCATTTTCCCCTCTTATTTTAAAACAGGGTAACTATAAAGGAACTGCCCCCCCCCCACTCCCCCCGCCTTTTCTTTTTAAGTGACTTATAAAGTCTCTGAAGGCAGTTTACACACAAACATTCGCTGAGTGTTCTTGTGTTTTTACGTGCTGGGCTGTGGGCATTTGGGCTGACAAATATGAAAATTTCACAATCTCTGCTTTCCATTCTCTTTAGAGAGGAAATGCCCCAGATAAGTCCTGAAAGACAGGTAAGGGGTTATAAATCTAGAAGAAGAAGATGATCTGAAGAAGTCAGAGTGGGCTGAAGGGTGTTCGGGCAGAGGGAAACACACATGCAGAAGGGCAAAGGCAAGATGGAACATGGTGCTTTGGCCAGAAATTTTGTAGGACTGAGGCCCAGGATAAGAGCAGTTGCCAGATCATGGTCTTGCCAAGACCTAATTCTGAAAGCTCAGGGGAGCCTTCTAAGGATTTTATGCCGAGGTGTTTCATGATCAGGTTTGAACTTACAAAGATTGACAGCATTATCTCCAGGATGTGTAAGGGTAGGATAGAAGCAGTGGATGGCAGAGAATTGGTTCGTCAGTCCAGGGGAGAGAGGGGGTTTGAGCCTGAGTTCCGGGCACAAGGCAAAGGGAGGGACGTGGACTGGCAACATTAAGGAAATGTTATGACTGCTTGGATATGGAGGACAAAGGAGAGGGAGGCGTCTGAGAGCAGTGAGGGCCAAGGTTTTCAGATTGAGAAGGTGGATGATGCTGGAACTAGTCACTGATGATGCAGAGGACATGGAGCCGCAGGGAGTGGGTCATGAAGATGATGCTCAGGTTTGGTCATTCTCATTTTAGAGTTTGAGCTGCCTGTGGGCGATATAGGTAGTTGGAGGTAGACCCAGGTCTGGGATGACTACGTCCGGGACAGACCACATCCGGGAACATAGATTTGGGAGCTGTGAATATACTCCTCAAGAGACTTTGTAAAAATGTCTGGAGCAATGGCTGCCTCCTTAGATTTCACTCTGAGATGTCTTAATCCTTTCAGGATATTGCAGTTTCAGATTGCCCCTAACCCTAGCCGGGGTGTTTTCTGCCCCTCGTTGTGATCAAGTATAGTCATCAGTCCCTGCATCGGTGAACTCTTTAGGTTCAGACTGAAAGATAAGCTGTAACTGAAGATGGGGGTACCCTCCAAATCTAGAAATCTATTAAGCAGTCAGAAATCATTTAAGCGTCCATCAATAGGGGATTGAATAAATACATTGGGGAAAGCATCTGATCATAGCATAAATTGCATCCTATCATTCCCCTCCTGAAAGCCTGCTAGTAAGGCTTTCTCTTTGCACTTGGAATACAATTCATATGCTTTAAGAACTTGTGTGCTTTGACCCTGGCCTCTGTCACTTCATCTTGTGCCATCTTCCTTGTATCGGGATCTTTTGCTTTCTCAGGCACTGCAGCCGCTTTGCTATCATAGGCCCTTTGCTCATGGTGTTCACTCTGCCCAGACGTGGTCTGAAAGGGTCTCGAGCACAGGAGCTTCTGTCTGCATGGAGTGTGGGGTTCACCACCCTCCCAGCACATAGGTGTGTTCTTGTTCACCAACCTGGAAGCTCTCGGAACTTCATAGTCTGGGGATTTTTACGGAGGCTTCATTCCGTAGGCAATATTGATTGGCATGGTGAGATTGGCCGTAAGTGGTCAAGTCAGTCGCCAGCCCTCTCCTCTCCCCAAAAGTCTGGTGGGGGAGGGTCTAATGGGGCTGAAAGTTACAACCCTCTCTCTAATCACTTGATTGGCTCCCCTGGCAACCAGCCCTATCCTTAGGCACTTTCTAAAAGCTACCTCACTAACATAAACTCAGATGTGATTGAAAGGGGCTTGTTAGGAATAAGAAGACACCCATTTCGGCGTTAACACTCTGGAGCTTCTAGGAACTGGGAACAAAACTAAATATTATAACTAAAGATGCCCCCATGGCTCTTATATAGGAAATTACAAGGGCTGAAGGGACTATGTGCTGGGAACTATGGACCAAGACCAAATAGATCTTTTTTTATTATAAATCACAGGCCCTCATCAAGGGACTTTGAATCCATTCAGTTCGTAGATAATTCAGTAGTTCTAGTTAAACTGAGTTTCCCTTAGTTTGGCCATCCTTGAAAAATCATTGACCATTAGGTTCCACCCAAAGGCTTCCCCCTTTTGGCATCCTGTGTTTTGGTCATATGCCTACAGGTAGCACAGGGTTTAAAATTTGCCTTTGCAGTTGGTAGTCGGCCCCAGCCACGGGGATTTGGAGGTGGGGAGAGAGGAGCAGCTTGCCCTGAGGCTGGCTGAGGTTTCCCTGGTGAAGCAGAGGAGGAGGGGCAGAGGACAGAACCAAAGGCCTGAGGCCAGACTGTGGGAGAGCCCTCAGAGGACATGTGTCCCGGAGGCTTTTCAGGACTTTTTTTCCCCTCTGTCTTTACATCTTAATGACACCATCTTCAGCTGGGTACAATGTCTTAACTGTGTAAAACTGTGAGTTCTTTAGCTGTCAGAAATGAGTCTCTGGAGCTTCCCAAGTGCAGATTATTTCCTGCGAGAGATCTGCATTTGAAATTGAGGTTTCTCTCCTTGACCTCTTAACCCTCCTTATTATTCTGTGTTCTCAGCTGGTTCGACTATGCAATGAAGGAGCTCGGAAGATGGAAAGGACTGAAATGATGTACACCATTAATTCCCAGTTGGAATTTAAAATTAAGGTATTCTCTTATTTCTTCATGAACAGATTTATTACCGCTCGTGCTTAAATCTTATGTAAATAGAGAGAGATAGTTGAGGGCAACAAAGAAGATAGGAATTTGCTTTTCAGAGAAGGGCCATAAATTGATTGGAGGGGGACTGGACTTGCTGAGGCAGTCGCAGAAGTTCCAGGCAGCTCTGCTCTTGCTTATGGTCACCAGATAAAGTTGCCTTTCTCCAGGCCACAAGGTTAGATTTATGTAACTAGCACATTCCCCCACCCCACCCCCAAATTTAGAGAAAAGGATAAAAAAAAAAAAAAGAACTTTTAGAATGGAAAGGTGATTTCTTTACTATTCTCAGATTGTCCTGCAAAACAGAAACAAAAGCCCATGAATTGTAGCACATGTTCTCCTAAATTAGGTAAAGACACTCCTCTTCCAGTTTGCAAAAAAAAAGATTGTTAGTGGAGTTTTCTTTTCAAATTTGTTTTTCTTCCATAATTCTCTTTTGGATATGTGCTCCCTCTTACTGCTTGTATGATACTGCTTAGGAGTGGATGACGGGATGTATAAAGAAGAAAATGACCCTGAATGGCAAATCTAGGTCATAGTCTTTCGTTGGCTCACAACTGAGTTCTTAATGGAAGTGAGCGCTCACGATTGTGCTTGTATTTTATTTTGTAACTTGTAAATTTAATTAAGCAACTTAAAGGACTAGTTGTATTTTTTTCATAGTAAAAGTGCTCCTAAATTGTGTGGTGGATATGCAGTGCGGTGGTGGATCAGCATTTCATGGTCTTATGCAGAGAGGAGATTCTTTGCCTTGCCGTTGCAGTTGGAAGACCACTGGTATAGTATAGCTGTGTGCTTTTATTTTATAAATGAGGAAAATAAAGCCCAGAGAATACTTAATTGTTAACGGGGTCACTGGGCTAGTGGTGGTAGAATCAAGCCGAGGGCCCGTATGTCCTGACTTGCAGATCAGCGTCAGCTCTTTCACCAGAACATCCTGACTACAACAGTTTAGATGCAGGAATGTGACAGATAATTCTTAGAACAGAAGATGATGTGTACTTGTGAAAAACACACATGCACTTTGTTATAACGGCTTTCTACAGAAATTTATTGCAATTTCCAAACCCATCTTTCCTCCATCCCTCAAAAAGAAACTTGTCCTTGTCTGTAATTTGATTCTAAGTATTTTAGAAAATATATCTAGACATCAAAAGTTTTTTATCTCCTCCTTTTTAAAGATTATAAATTCCTAACCACTTTGATTTTTAAAGATGATAAATCCCTTCCCTAACCATTTTTCTTTTTTTTTCTTCACTGAAAATCAGTTGGCTTAAGCTATCTTTAAGCTCTATTTCTCTAGAACCCCAAATTAATTTGTAATTGAAAAATGCTTACCCCAAGGGTCCTTAAAAAGAAACGATTAACATCAATTGGGTTCATGAATTTCGGGTTCTTTGTTTTCTTTTGGTTCAATGATTAAAATATTTGCAAGCCTAAAGGAAGATATTTTATGTTTAGATTTACAATGAGGCACTTAATTCAGACTACTTAGGAATACTAATAAAATCTGAGGATCTCATTTCCATAACACTTTATGGACAACAGTAGACATTTTTATGCAGTTCATTTTAAAGACGAGAAGATAGATGTCCGAAGAAGTCAAATGTTTTGTCCTAGCACATGTGTTGTGTCAACTAATTTTGTGAGCACTTTCTCTGTGGAAGGCAGCCAGAAAACCAAAACCTAATCCCTGCCCTCAGGGAACTTACAGTCTAATAGGAGACCAGGAAGTACAGAGGAGTTGGCAGCCTCTGCAGCTGTCGCTGTAGATGGAAGACAATTGAGAACACTCTCTCCTTTTTTTTCAATTTTTTTTTTAGAATTTAGTGATTCATCATCACTTATATACAACACCCAGTGCTCATCACGACACGTGCCCTCCTTAATGCCCGTCCCCCATTTACCCCATCCCCTACCCACATCCGCTCCAGGAACCCTCAGTTTGTTCTCTATAGTTAAGAGTCCATTTTATGGTTTGCCTCCTACCCTCCTCTTTTTTTTTTTTTTTTTTTTTTTTTGAGAACATTCTCCATGGGAAGGGGTGGTCAGCCCTACCTGTGAGGCATACAGGGGTGGGGAGCTCGTAGCAGTCAGGTAAGGCTTCATACCAGAGGTATGTTTGAGTTGAATCTTGAAAGGTGAGTTAGGAAGGGTCTTCTAGAAGTAAAAGGTAGGAACAAATGCACAGGGCATGGCTTCAGCTGCTGTAGCCCAGCAACTGTATGTGTCCAGTGTGGACGGGCATGAGGTGCAGGGGGAGCAAGGCAGAGCCAAGCAGTAAACAACAGCTCACGTGGGGGGCCTGGTGTCCTAGAGGAGCCGCTGAGCAAGGTCAATTGGGAGCCACTGAAAAGTTCTAAGCAGGGAAGCAACACTTTAGCAATGGGAAAGGCCTTTTGAACTTATTCCAAATCCAGAAGTCATTAAAAAAATAGTGTAAGTTCATTTATATGAAAAATTTTAAAAATTTCTCTATAGAAGGGAAAAATAAGACATAAAAAAGTAAAAAGAGAAATAGCAAACTGGGAAAGTATTTGCACCTCACATATAGACAAGAGGTTAATATCTTCAATGTGTAAGCTCAAAGAGATAAGAAAAAGTTAAGGAAAAAAAACCATTACCAAATTGCAAATTAGAAATCAACTCCACCATCTACTAGCTGTATGAGCTTGGCCATTACTTTATGTCTTAGTTTTCTGAATCTTAAAATGGGACTGATAATAGTACTTTCCCTCAGGGAGTTATTGTGAGGATTAAATTAATTACTAGACCTAAGGGACTTGGAACAGATCTGATTGATAGTAAGCAAGTAGTAAATATCTTTCAGATTCTTTGTCAGAATAGTTTCATAGGCCTGCTAGGCATGTTGCAGAGGGATGAAGAGCTAATAGGATGTGAAACTGTTTAAACAGATTAGACTTTTCATCCAAGAACCTTGGCAGGAAGAAGGAAGTGAGGGCTGTGGAGAAAAAGTTGGTCACCAAACTAAGATCAGACACCAGTTTGTGCCTCAAATCCAAGTGTTTTTTCCACTAGACCCCAGCTTTCTCTAAAAGTTGCCTGCACAAAGTTGGGGAGGATTATTTTTTTTTTGTCTTATAATGGAAAGTTTGGCCTTATGAATAAGCACATGGGGAAATTGAGGATTGCCGGGCTATACCATGAGCCATAAATTAAGTGTAATGGAGTGGGGTGGTGTATTGGTGGGTGGATGGGTTTCCTGGTCATTATTTGGGGACCTTGCTAATAAGTAGAAGTCTAAGATATAGCAGACAAAATGCAGAACTCTGAGGTATTAAAAAGTCTGTGCATTGTAGAACACAATTTAATGGCTTCTCAGAAAATTAATAGGATTACCATATGACCCAGCAACTCCACTTCTAGGTATATACTCAAGAGAATTGAAGATGGTCATTCAAATAAAAGTTGTATGTGAGTGTTCATGGCAGCATTATTCATAATTGCCAAAAAAGTGGAAACGACCCCAATGTTCATCAAGAAAATAGGTGAATTGATAAATAAAACGTGCTACATTCATACAGTAAAGTAGTGTTTAGCCATAAAAAAGGATTGAAGTTCTGATACATGCCACCATTTGAGGGGCCTGTATTATATAATTCTGTTGATATGAAATGTCCAGAATAGGCAGATTAATGGGGTTAGAAGGTAGATTACTGGCTGCCAGGGCCTGGGTGGGGGAGGGGAGGGCAGAATGGAGAGTGACTGCTTACTGCTTATGGGGTTTCTTTTATTTATTTATTTATTTATTTATTTATTTATTTAAATTCAATTAGCCAACATATAGTACATCATTAGTTTCAGATGTAGAGTTCAGTAATTCATCAGTTGCCTATAACACCCAGTGCTCATCACATCACATGCCCTCCTTAATGCCTATCACTCAGTTACCCCCTCCCCCCACCCACCTCCCCTCCAGCAACTCTCACTTTGTTTCCTAGAGTTAACAGTCTCTCTTGGTTTGTTTCCCTCTCTGATGACTTCCTGTTCAGGTAATGAAAATGTCCTGGAGTTAGGTGGAGATGATCATTGCACTGCACTGTGAATGTACTAAAAGTTACCAAATTACATGTACACTTTAAAATGGTTAAATGATTAATTTTATCTTGACTAAAAAAATTATTCTCCAGCAGCTCTTCTTTGTCTCACTGGCCTATAATATTAGTTAAGTTTTATGCTGCAACTAGTTTTCTAGGATGCTACTTAACACAAAAAAGAACGAAAAGTCTTTTCTCCATAGGACTTATTTCAGGACTTTTAAGGATATATTTTTATTTATGTATTTCTTTTCTAGTGTTGGTTCTATTCAGAGTTTCATAACTAGGGGAGTTCATTTATTCCACCGTGGATTGTTTGGATTCTTTTCTTTGGTCATTTTAATAGTTTCTTCTTAAAAAACAAACAAACAAACACTATTGAAATGAGTTTAATCACCTAATACTAAATTTGGAAACAACAAACATTTAGAATACCAGATTTTTGCTTTCCAAAAAAGCATTGACATCTTGAAAACTGCTGTCGATTTTAGATCTTCTATTAGAAATTTATTTTTGCCTTGTGGAATATGAGGAATCCATAAAAATTGATCTAGTTAAAAAAAAAAAAAGCTTAAAAGACTTCTTCCCCCCATCTCCTAAACCAAGAACAGTTGTAGGCATGTCTACTGGACCTTAGCCACAAGACTGCCCTTGGTTTATCCTAGGCTGACAAGCACTAGCAAGATAGCACTGTGTTCTCTAATTGTCGCCCTTCCACAGAACCAAACCGGACACATAATCCCTTGTGGTGACCTCCGGGGTGGGATGGTAGGGCCCTCCCGACTTATCTCAGCATCTCTCTCTCTGTCATCTGCCTTTTAAGTCTCAGCCATCCCAGTTGGACAATCGTTTGATTTGAGATTTGGGGGCTGGAAACTCCATGAACTCCCTTAATAGCCAGCTTTGAAAGTTTGAGGTCAGCCGTAATCTTTCATCTTCCTTTTTAAACCTTCAGGAAAATAGTCTATAACTGATGAGCAACCTCCTAATAAAAGTCACTTTATAAAATTAAAAAAAATATATATATGTGTGTGAAATCCTTTCTTAGCTTTCTTATTTCCTCTCTAGTATTCTCAGTTTCCTCTAGCTATTTTTAAATCACTGTTCCCTGAAAAGGATGGCCTTTGGTACTATTACAGCTATTTTTTGTGTGCCCAAGACCTTTTGCTTTTTCTGTGGATACAGTTTTTAAAATCAGATTTTTGGCAATAGCATTTCTGATAACTTAAAAAAAAAAAGAACTCCTAAGGATAAGGATTATTCTGTGGTTTTGAGAGTTTTTCAGTTGGAAACTGGGCACTGAATAAAGAAAAAACACTATGTAATTCCTTGGATACAGCCTTTTCTATGAGGTTAAGATGGATTATTTTGAAAGAGCGTTGTTTGCACAGCCAGAAAGTGGCCTGATGCTTTCAGGGATGAATTTCCATGAGGAAAATCTGCTTCAAACTTAAGAACAGGTGTTCTCCAGAATATGGCTAAGTAAATAATCAGTAGACAAAACATAGTTTGTGGGGAGTTTTTCCTGTTGAATAAAATCTTTTTAGTTGATAAAGTGGATGCAGACTTTTCTGTTTCTTGTTAACTACAATTATCGGGTTCTATCTTGTGATATTTAAAATAGCAGCCATTGATACCGATAGATTTCCTTTTGAGGCTTTTCTTTTTTAAGTGACTCCCTGTCCATCTTTTGAGAGTTACAGAAGGATAATAATTTTGGGCTGACCCGATAATATTTTCTCACTGAGTTTTCGTTGTCATATAGGCAAGTTAATAGTTTATTATATTGGAAAATAATTGTTCTTTTTTCATTTTCTCTTGGAGAATGTACTCTATATTTCACTGTTATATACTTATAAAATAATGATGTATACCATGACATGTGTTGTTCGTTTAGATGTGAGTTTTAATTTTCCCTTCAATACTCTTAAGAGGACTTTCATTTGGCTTCGTACACTGAGTTTTTCTCCTTCGATAGCCTTTTCCTCTAGTCTCCTCTTCCCGGTGGTTGGTAAAAAGAGGTGAGTTGACAGCCTATGTGGAAGACACCGTGCTTTTCTCAAGAAGGACATCTAAACAGCAGGTCTACTTCTTTCTCTTTAACGACGTGCTCATTATCACCAAGAAGAAGAGGTAAGCCATTTTGTGATATGCTGGTTGTACATCCAGTTTTAAAGCTCTGTAATTCAGATGTCTTTTACGGTTGATTATCCTCTAAAAGCTTGTGATGTTAGATGTGTAGTTTCCACATGTGGAATCATAGTAGCATCCATGTTTCACTTTCTTTAAATTACATAGCCAGTTGAGACTCAAATCATTCCAGCCAACCTCTGTCAAGCTTAAAAGTGCACAAGCCACCCTTCTGAGCATTTTACACATGTATATCATTGGATTCTCATGACGTCCCTGGGGAGGTAGTGCTCGTATTATTCCCCATCAGCATTTTTCACACTTCTGCCAAAGAATTTTTGTATAAAACAGATAAAAGTTGCTCCAGTTGAGAACAAGCTGGGATGCAACTCGAGTGTTTGTAACTTAATTTAAAACCCACTGCTCTTAATGGTTGCTGGTCTTGAAAGTCTCCCTGTGACTGCAGAATGAGAGCGGTATACCAGTACTTCCTTCTGAAGAGGATAAAGTCAATCATCTGGCAGAGTGTTTCATACACAGACGTGCGTGCACACATGAGCGCGCCCACACACACGCTCCCCTCAGCTCTTTCTTTTTTTTTTTAAAGATTTTATTTATTCATTTGAGACAGAGAGAGAGAGCACAGGAGGGGGGATCGGCAGGCAGAGGGAGAGGGGGAAGCAGGCCCCCCACTGAGCAGGGAGCCTGATGTGGGGCTCGATCCCAGGACCCCAAGATCATGACCTGAGCCGAAGGCAGACCCTTAACCATCTGAGCCACCCAGGCGCCCCAGCTCTGTCTTTCCTTAGGGAACATTCTTCATCAAGTGTACTCAGTGGCTTGTAGGATTGCAGAGTATTTTTTTTACTGGCCCTTCATAAATATTCCAAATCTTTTCTAGAATATGAACTTAGAGAAACAACATAAATCTGGTTTTTTTTCCACATAGGAAGGCAATGATGGTGGGCTGAATTGCTGGCATAAAATAGGTGTAAGGGTAGTTCATGGGGTACAGTTTAGATAGACAAGGTGAAGAGAATCAAGGTAACAGGACTTCATGAATGTATAAAATAAATGTACAAATTTATCATGAGATAGTTTAAATTCTACTTCTGAGTTGCTGACATTTTAGCTTGACAATTCAAGCTAAATTGAAACAGAGTATGAACTTTTCTTTTTGCTCCTTTTAATCAGACTGTATTATGAATTATTTCAGCTGCTTGGCTGTCCAGCTGAAATGAAAATTATGTATGGTCTACCCTGAAAAGCCATAATACGACTGTGATAAATACATAAAGATGCTGATTACTGTTTTTCATACTTAGGAAAATAGTGTTGTCATAACTTCAAGAAGAAATTATTTCTCTTACCTGAGACAGTTTCAGTAGTTCCAATAGCTAAGTAAATTTGATAAATAAAAATTGGAGAGGGATTATAATTTTGTATTTTTATATTTATTTGGTTTCCTATGAGATAGTATGTTTCTTTGGCTTTCTTTGAGATGTTTTGTTTCAGGAGAAAGTAATTATATATGACTCTTCAAATGCCATTACTCTGGACTTTTAACATCTTCCAGCTGTTGAAATATTTGTTCTGTCTCAATGGACCAAAGGCTGTAACTAAACTTTTCATTTTCGTGATAAAATACATGTTGACAGGATGAAGCCAATTTTAAATATAAATCTAGCTTTGATTAGGATGTCTTCAGTGAGTTCATGAAAACATTAAGGGTATTTAAACCAGTATAGTACAACTTTTATCCTTGAACTTGCATAGAACTACCCAGTAACTACAGACTTTTTCAACTTGAGAATTAAGGTATATGCTATTCTATTTAGCCGTGTACTTTGCCCTCCACAGCAGATTTTGTCATTATATGTGTGTTACTTTCCTAGCTCTCCCACTTTTATTTGCTCAGGCTGTGTTTGAACTTGTATTATTAGTAAATGAAAGAAAAGAAAATATACATCTCCAACGAAGACGGCAACCTGGGTACCTATCTTTGCCTTTACCAAAACTGGGATTTTTTTTTTTTTTTGCCCTTACCAATGAGCTCATCGTATTTCTAAGGTGCTCTTGACTAGGAGAATAGCCTTGAAGGCTCAAGTCGTTTATGACCTGAATACATGGTGAGGGTGACAAGCAGACCACAGAGACTGGATAAACAGGCTCGGTTAAAAATGTATAGTATGCGCAGCCGTATTTACACTGTAGCTTCAAGGAGGCAACTGCGAATGCTTCGCATGCCAGAGGCAGCAGCGAAGGAGATACACCAGCTTTGAAGAAGGCAGTAATTTAGGCTTGGCTGCGAGGTGCAGATAAAGGATAATTACCTGTGCCAACTCTGGAGGGCCGATCCAGCCACCCACTGCCTAATTGTAATTCCAGGGTTCAGCCAAGGGGCTTAGCTCCTGGGTCTGCGGTGGGTTTCAGCTTCAGGGAGGCTCCTGGCTACTGGGGGAGACTGCTCGGGAGGGCAGTTACTCTTCCTCCTCCGACCCAGTCTGGCAGCTGGTTTATGCTGAGCACGTTCCACAGATGGCTGGGTGTGTGGCCACCTCGGATCTGCACTGCGTCTGTTAGTGCAAGTGCTTATGGAGCTGGTGGGGACCGTGGGGCTGTCTCCTAGGACAGGGATTTCCCCCCTTTTTTTAGAATATTAGAAGAAGTTTCAAGTCTCCATTAGCTCTGAGCTGGTTTCGGGTCGCTGCATTAATAGTCTCTTCTATCAAATTTCTGAAGGACTCTTCTGGATGAGAAAGTGAATTCTTTCGTAGTTGAAGCTTTGACAGCAGGTTGGGTGGGTACTTCTAGAGCAGAGTTCTCTCCTTGGCACTCTTTTTTTTTTTTAAGATTTTATTTATTTATTTGAGAGAGAGAGAGCAAGTGCCAGGGGAGGGGGAGGGAGGGGAAGAGGCAGAGGGAGAAGCAGGCTTCCCGCAGAACAGGGAGCCCGACTCGGGGCTCGATCCCAGGACCCCGGGATCATGACCTGAGCCGAAGGCAGACGCTTAACGACTGAGCCACCCAGGGCCCCCTCGCCTTGGCACTCTTGAGGCCTGACAGTTCTTTGTTGTGGGGGCTGCCCTGTGCTTTGTAGGGTGTTTTAGCAGCATCCCTGGTCTCTACCTGCTATTTGCCAGTAGGCTCTCCTTCTCAGTTGGGACAAACAACAATGTCTCCAGACATTGTTGTATGTCCCTTGGGGAGGAGCAGATTGCCCCCATTTGAGAACCACTGCACAACAGTGATGTCAGACTGTTAATGAGTACTGCCTTCAGAATAGGGGGGATGTGCAAATGTATCAGACCTGACACAGCACTAACAGTAATATTGTAAGAGGGGAACAGACTGCCACGTTATACTCCTAGATTAATGAATAGTAACTTATTTATGCCTAGTAATAACTTATTTATAATTATCCATTACAGTGCACAGACCATACCCCATGTCCAACCTTAGGGACCAAGTACTGTTGTGTCCAGTTCTGAAAGGTGAAAACTGAATTCAAGACCTAAATAGGTTCAGACTCTCAAAAGCCTTATTTTGTAAGGTAGTCAACCGCCTATTCTCCTTTAGTGCCTTCGATCTGGCTTAAGTCTTCCCTCCCAATTTCTTCTGAAGCAAAAAGCAGTTCCCCCTCTGTTAGTTTTTTTCAGCTGCTATAGCAAAGTCTCACAAACTGGGTGGCTCAAGACAATAGGAACGGATTGTGCCCCAGTTCTGGAGGCAGTGGTCCAGAATAAAAGTATTCGCAGGGCCATGCTCCCTCTGAAGTCTCTGGAGAGAATCCTGCCTCACTCCTTCCAGCTCCTTGTGGCCCCTGGAATTCCTTGGCTTCAAGGAGCATAACTCCAATCTCTGCCTGTCTTCATATGGCATTCTTCTCTCCGTGTCTCAGTGTGTCTCGAAATCTCTCTCTCCTTATAAGGACACCAGTTACTGGATTTAGGGCCTACTCTACCCCAGGATGATCTCACCCTAACTTGATTACATCTGCAAAGACCATATTTCTAAATAAGGTCACATGTACAGGTACCAGGGGTTAGGACTTTCGCAGACTTTTGGAGGACACAGTTCAACTCACTACCCTCCCCCAACCCATCACCACTGTTGAAGTATGATTATGATCACATAATGAATAAATGTGTTTAAGAAAAATGTCTTAAGCCAGTTGTAGAACACACCATTTTTTAATCAACATTGACTGATGCCGTTCTTCCTAATTTTGGAATGTCATCTTGGTCATGTGACTTGAACACCTCTATTTGGAGGGCTCATAGGTTACCTTCATCTGTATCTTCTCCTTCAGACCTGTTCCTTCTCCAGTGTCTCTCCCCTCCTTTGTTAAAGCCACCTCCATGCATCCGGTTGTTCCCCAATAAACCCGAAAGACTACTTTGGCTCTGTGTACTCGTTGCGCTCCCCTGTCCAGCCAATCACGGGTCTCTTAGGCAGCCCCTGAAATTGCTTCTCTCCTCTTACATTGCCAGGGCGCTTGTGGAGCCACCTTGAATTTACCTGTGAGACACCTAACTGGAGTCATACCACCATCCCTCCATCCACTTGACATTACACAGCAGAATGTAAAAATATGCTTTTTAAAGGACACATTTAGGGGCGCCTCGGTGGCTTAGTTGTTAAGCGTCTGCCTTCGGCTCAGTTCATGATCCCAGGGTCCAGGGATCGAGCCTGGTGACAGGCTCCCAGCTCAGCGGGAATTCTGCTTCTCCCTCTCCCACTCCCCCTGGTTATGTTCCCTCTCTCACTGTCTCTGTCTCTGTCGAAAAATAAATTTAAAAATCTAAATAAATAAATAAAAGACACATTTACTCAGGCCATCTCTTGCAAATGGCCCTTCCGTGGTCCTACCTTGTACTTAGCCTCACTGAACCACCTTTCTAGCCACCAGGACCCGACACATCATTCTTTGCCTGAATTCTCTCACTTCGCCACTGACCCAGTCCACCCAAGCCTTTTCTAGCGAAAGTCCTTTTTATTCT